TGAATCACTGAGATAAACCAACACAAAGCAGCACTTTATTGTGAACTGGAATATAATGATAGGTGTTCTTTCAACAAATTAATATCTGCAAAACTGCTTAAAATATGTTTGATGGCAAAACATAATTATGTTTTTGTATCATTTTAAATTAATTTAGTCAATAAGCTGTTTTTTAAGAAGTGTTTCATTTGAATTTTAAGACGAAAATAACCTCCTCTCCTTCTCCTCTTTGTTTTTATTTCTTTCAGTCTTGGTTCCTCTGACAAGATATGTGCACAAACCAGCAAATAGAAATCTTTCTTTACTAATTAACACAAGAAGAAAAACAAGAACAGATCAACAACCTGCAGGAAGACAGTAATTGTCTAACCGACCTCTCACCAACCCGCCCTGACAGTACGTCTCATCCGATACGAAATATAACCCGAGCTACGCAGGAAAATGACGCTTCTAGAGGAACCCTGCACATATTCACGCAGTCAGAGGGAGGACCTGATTGGATGACGAGGGGAAAGGGATGGACTCATAGGATGCTAGGAGGAAGATGGAGGTGAAGGAGGACAGCGGTACGCAGGCCTCCTCACGCTACCGCCGTCCAGCGGCGATGCGGGAGCAGCTAAAGGCCGCGGCAGCGGTCAGCTTCTCCCTGCTTTGTGAGCAAATGGCTTAAAATAATCAACTGTCCAGCAATTACAGATTCAAGCGAGAACCCCCCACCCCCCCTTTGATGTCATCATCGCCGTATCGAAACCCAGTCGGTTCCTTTCACCCTGCGACCCATAAGCAGGCGACCATGCCAAACCATCTCCAGATTGAAAGTTGCACTACAAGCTGAATCAGTCAACACTAACCCTAACGATGTGCACTATTTACCTACGAGGCATGGGAGGAAAAACCACGCCGCCTATACCGTTACGTTCTACGAAAAGGAGACAAACCACAGCCCACCAGAAGCCTTCACGTGTCCTCGACCCGTCACGGTTCAGCCCAGCCAATCAGCGGCCTCCCCTCACTCTCACTAAGTTCTCAGTCTGTGTGCCATGACTGCAGGATTTTATTTTCCCACTTTTCAACATTATATTTCTATATATATATATATATATGTAAAAGCTTTCCATTTTTTTTTTACCCAATAAGCTCAGTAAAATCCCTCCTCGCATGACGCCATCAGTGTCCAAGATAGTGAGAAATTTCACCGCTGTTGAAAGCAGCTATGAGTTCCCCTATTCGACCTTTTTATAAACGTAGATGAACGCTGACTAATATTCCCCCCTCGCCTGTTTGCTTATTGGAATCAACTCTTTTTTGGGGGGGTTTGTACTGTTTTCTAATTGTTTTTGTATTTGAATGGCAGCACCTTAAAGTTAAAGAAGAAGAAATGATATGTTGAGGTAAAAAACACGGAACCCTTGAGAAACAGTAAGAATTTGGGAAAAATGTCCACCTGCTGTTTTAGATGCAGAGATTGGTATTAACGCCTCGGGAAGCTACAGTGAGCAGCTGGTTAGATTCTTTTTTAAATGTTTTTTTGGTAGAGGTGCCACTCGGTTAACGGTTTTTCAGATTCGTTAAGTCTTTCCAGAAGGATCAGGAACAAAACTTCTCCACTGTCACTTTAACTGTAGGTGAGTTTATCTGTTGAAGTGGGAAAAAAGTATTCAACTATTGAACCTAGTTAAATTAACGGAGATCGATGGATTTCACTCAGTCGGCACTTTATTTTCTTATCTTTGCAGAGAGAGAACAGTTCATCATACAGCCCTTACGGCGCAGTAATCAGCCCTGTTCTGCCTAGACAGTTTGTCTAATTGATGAAAAAACTGAGTCAAAACAAATTAAACACACTTTAACAAACCTTGGGGAACAATTTGGCTTTTCGTGGGAATAAGTATGTTTTTTACTAAAACCACCCCTCACTCAGACATTTTCTCAGCCTTGCAGGTGAAGCAAACTGAGTAAAAACATTTTTCACTAGATAAATAGCATAACTAAATATATGAGACAAGATAAATCTAAATTTTCTGACCACACTGTTTTATTTTGGTCTTTTTGCAGCCGGCAGTGATGACATTGGAGGATGAGTTTAAAGTTGGGGCATAGACAAACAAGAGGTTTTAATTCTTATTTATTTTATAGAAAATCTGGAAATGATGACAATCAGTTGCTTGAGATAAAGGGAACAGAGCATTAAATACGTTTGACCTGCTAGTAAGAACTTTACTAATTAATTAGGACTAAAATCTGAGGTAGTTTGAAACAAACACCAAGTTTCTACAGGTGTTATTGCACTTTAATTCACTCCACGTATGCTTCATATTTTAGAGCTGCAGGTCCCACCTCCATTTTTAAATCCAACATGGCTGACGTACATATTAAAAGTAGCTATAAACTGCTATTATCTGCACCTGTGTCTGGTAGTACAAAAGCTAACTGCGTATAATTGCGAAGCTTAAAGCAAAACTTAACATTTTAACACTGTAAAAAAGTTCTAATTAAAGTCGACGTCTTATTTGGAAGTAATAAATTTCTTGCCATCTTTATGTAGCTTAAATTCAAATTAGCTAGCCCCAAAGACTGAAGCTAACAGCTAGTCCAAGAACATTATCAATCAACTTGCTCCTATAAAATCATTTCACATTTTATTAACCATCCACTAGGAGAAAAAAGTTTATTTTATTCATGTTTTAAATGTTTAACCAATTTAACAGGAGTTATGGGAGAGAAAAATAATCTTACAGAAGGAAATCAATTGAGTTTTTTTATATGTATGGGTAGAGATAGAAAATATAAGTCAGTATTTTAAAATACAAAAGCACACAGTTGGAGACTTCATGAAGAAAACCTTTGGCCATTAGTTTGATGCTGATTTATCTGAACACATTCAATAAAAAAGCTTTATTTTACTTATCAAAATAGGTAAAGAATCTAAAATTTGCCTCTTTAATATTCAACCTTCAGTTGGAGGCAGTGCGTCCCCAATTATCTTCCTGACTGAAATGCACACTGAAAACGGAACATTTCTGATATGAAATTATATATTAAATTATAAAAAGCAAAAACATTCAAGATAGATGTAAAACTTAGGCTCTGGTAATGCTTTTATAATTGTAAACATTACTTATTTATTTCATTAATCAAAAGTGGTCAAAATTAAAGTATATTTCCGCTGTTCTAATAGAACTCTAATCTCTTTTTTTCCGCCTTTAAGGTGTTTTATAAAGAAAAGGACGTGCATCCCTAATAATGCTCCTGAATGAAAAAACACAAAACAGATAATTGTTAAAAGTAACAACCTTATTTTAGTAAAGACAAGCTGTATTTTGCTTTGATTTTTATGCTCTGTTTTGCATCAAATAGTCACTTTTAAACACAGGCTGATCCATAGTGACGGACTTCCTCCTAACTCTACTTCACAGCTAAATGGTGTAAATAACCACCCAGTGTAAATCTGAAGATTTTTAACAAGTTCTTGGCTTAATTTTTGGGTAAATAACTGAGGTATATCTGAGACTGATATAGCTAAAGGTAGTTCCTAGAACCTCTTGGACTAGTTCTTAGCCTCTTGGACAGCGAGACCAAATTTATACTAATTAAAGACGCCAGGATTAGTTTCCCTTTTAATCAGATTTGATTTAATTCTATCATACAACTTTAAAGCTTAAAGGATCATCTGTGAACAGTTTAAAACTGATTAAATCTAAAGCTGCCAGCTGTAGCTTCCTGTTGAGGTTATCACTTTTCTCATCCAGCAATCAAAGAAGCATATTAACCCAAATGTTAATTTTATTGACATGGTTTAATTGTTTTACTACCAGAAGGCCCTTTACTCTAGGAAAAAAAAAACAAGTTTGGTTTTGACAATCAGAGGATTTTTTATATTTATTTCTGGGGACAGACAAGCTGAACCAACTAGATTTTTTTAAAAGGCACCTACTCCATCCGTTCCTCCTGTAAGTTTATCCTGTTGTTTACACTCCCAGACAGGCTGCTGCTCAAAGAGCTGAAGGCCACACTGCGGAGCAAAATAAACACGTCACATTTCTGGTTGGGGTTTTTATTTTATTTTAGGGGGGATGCCATAAGAGATCAAGAGTCAAACACTTGTGCCAGTTAAAGGTATAGTGGAGGATTTTCATAACATTTTTTGAAAAGACCCACTTTAAAAAAAAAATGCACATGCACAACCCTGTACCCGCTCCTGAGAGGGAACACCTATTTAACGCGTGTGAGAGCGTGCACAAGCCTGTTTCTCCTCGTGCACGCTCTGTTTAAAAGTTGCTGTTTGCATCGCTCATACAAGCGTACTTTCCAAAAGAACATATGCAATTTTTCCACTATGTCAGACTCACCTACTTAAAGTCGTAGGGAAGTCATATTTAAATTTATCAGACGATATCCCAAAAGTTAGAAAATCCTGTCTTAAAATCTGTGTTTTTTTGCTATCTTAATTAATTTTTTTGATCATAGCATCTTGATTCATATGTCACAGCTAATATACGCAACGATTGAAATAAGAAATAAGAATCATTTACTTTCCCATTGAGTTCCATCCCAGCTAAGAGAACTGGCAGCGTTGCGAGGCAAGGGCTCAAACATGTACGGCTGTAAGCCTTCTACACCAAACCAAGCTTCTGCCGCCCTGGCGTCCTCTTCCACAACATCTTCGTCCCCGCTTTCCTCCTCTAAATAAAAAATGGATGACGGAGGAGACTCATCCACGACCTCCGACACTAAACTCTCCTCCTCTTGCATGTTTCCTCTGTCCATAGCGTTCCTTGACAGTGTCGTTTCTAAGTCACCAATTTAGTGCTACTTGGTCCCAATGGAATTTCCCATTGGGAACCTACTAGCACTAAGTTGCTAACTGGTTAGCAAGATGCTTCCGACACCGGCCACAACCAAATTTGCTTGTGAACCTTCCGCCACAACAATCCCGCCCTCTTGATAGACGACCAATCACGTTCACTTTATTCACTCGCGTAAAGTCGTGCACCACTCGGGAGAATTCGGAAATATAACGGTTGGAACGGCCGTTTCTCTACGACTTAAAGTGAAAATGGGGGCAAGCACGTAGGACGGCCTTACATAAACATATCATCAGAGTTATTGACAGTTAGGAGGACCACTTATTTAGATGATCCACCCAGAAAAAGAACATCCTGCACTATACCTTTAAGAGTTGTTTCGGTTACACCCCCAACACACCAGCACTAAACCTGAGCCATTGTAAATGGAAGAGCCCTTATAGATCAAATAACTGCACTGAAACAATCATGTCAGCCAATCATGAAACAAAACAGCAGATTAAGTTAGTTAGACCAGGCGACCCGTTTTTAATTAGGTGTTGCATCAACCGTTCAGTATTAACCGCATCCCCGCGCCGCGGAACGCGCACCAGATTTCAAAAGGGAAGTTTAAAATCTAGACAATCCATGGAGGCCTTTATGCTTTCAGTCATGTTTTATACAGAACAACCCGCACGCTTTCTTCCACCGTCACGAGTCCAAACACCCATCCAAACCTCACAAAATAACTGGACTGCCTGGCCGCGCTCTTTCGCTGCGGGGAAAGCTGTCGTAGTTGGCCCAGCAACCGGCGGCCATGAGGAGAGGACCGGCTGAACAAGGCGTTAGGCTGATTTCTTTTCGAATCAAAGGAAGTGCCTCTGTAATCCCATTATGCAATTTGTCAAAACATGAATTCAGGTTGTTTTTTCTCACATATAAGCTATAGTAAATGGTTAAAAAAAACTGTCTGGAGGGGGATGGAGAGAAAAAAACAATTACAGCTCACTAGATAATCTCAAGCATCTTTATATATATAATACACTTTTCTATATATTTATAGATATATACTTCTTTTTTTTAGTTTGCAAGATAAGCTCTGTGGCAGTCTAGTTATTTTTTGAAGCATGGCATACATCGCAGTCATAGGACGCATCTGGAAAATGCTAATTGGAGCTCCAGTACCAGTTTCTAAGCCCATAACCGTTCGAAAGGAAATCAGATCCACCGCAGACCCATTCGTAGACGTAGAATAATCGGTTTCAGTAAAGTAGAGATAAGGATTAAAAAAATTCAGACAGATTTGTTTTCTTTAACGTTTCGATGGGAAGTATTGTTCTTTAAATGATGTATGTCGATTGAGCCATGTGCAATGCCTTGGTAGAGGAATTGTGTTTGTTAGAGATTGTTTGAGGGTGTCATGCAAAAAAAAAAAAGAAAATGGAGGGAAACCCTCTTTTTTTTCTGTTAGTTCGTTTATTTTTTAAGTCCACGTGCTCCGGGACTCTAAATACACGGGCAGTGAGTTCAAAAAAAAAAAAGGAAAAAAAAATTTTGGGGGGGGACATTGCTTTTGATTTTTTTTTTGTTTCCTTTCAACACTTTTTCAAGAACGAG